GGCGTGCGGCTGAAGCACGTCGGCCAGGAGCGCAAGGCCAAGAAGTAGAAGAGGCACAAGAAGGATAATTACAGCGATCACGTCAAGGAGTGGAGGCGCCGCAGCCGCAGCTGGTGCAGGTCGGTGTAGGCGTCTCGGGCTCGGATGGCGCGCAGGAATTCGTCTGGCACGACAGCGACCCAGGTCGCCGCGGGGAAGCTGGACGGCCGCGAGCGCTGGCACCACCAGGACGAGGGCGCTGGTGGTGCTGTCACTGGTGGAGGCCTGCAGTACGTCATCAAGAAGGTCTTCGACTTCTACGGGGGGGAGGGTTGCAGCTTCCCGAGGCGGTCGGGGTCCTGAAGCGTGGCCCAGTCGAGCAGTGCCAGTACGAGGAGTGCAACCTGGATCCGAAGGGGGCGGCGGTGTCCGACGAGAGAAGGTGAGCTTCTCGAACGGCGTCGTCGAGTCGGAGGCTAAGTTGGCACAGCTCGAGTGCTCGAGCGGCAAGCGGTTGAAGGCGCCGGCGGAGTCGGCCGAGGAGGTGAGTTCCTCGGATGGCGTCGCCAAGTCGGATGCGAAATTGGCGCAGCCCGAGTGCGCGAACGGCGAGCAGTTGAAGGTGCTGGCGGTGACTGCAGAGGAGGTGGGCTTCTCGGATGACTTCGCTGAGTCGGAGGCGAAGTTGGCGCAGCTCGAGGGCGTCAAGGGTACGCAGCTGAACGTGCTGGCGGAGTCGGCCGAGGAGATGAGCTTCTCGAACGGCGTCGCCAGGGCGGAGGAGACGCTGCCGCAGCCCGAGGGCAGTGGCGCTAGCTCGTCGGGGGACCACTTCGACGAGAGGCGGTCAGGAGGCTCTCCCGCAGCAGGGCCTCGTCCAGTCGAATTCGTGGAGGGCCTTGAGGTCGGGACCTCGTCGGAGGCGGTGCAGGTCATCCAGACCGCCGTGCAGCGGGTGCTAGACGGCATCCCCGCAGAGTTGCGGGGGAATGCCATCGACAGGCTGCTCAAGGAGTTGGCCGAATGGCTCGGCCGGGGACGGGATCATGACCGGTCGTGGTCTGAATTTTCGGGCTCTGGGTCGGGCGGTCCCTCCCTGGCGCCGCCTCTGGGTTCGGCATCCCTCTGCGCGTGGGGGAGAGGCGGGAATCCAGTGGGGCGCCTCGGGCGCGGTCTGCGGTTTGCAGGCGCCGGGGGGGGGGGGGGCCCTCCCTTCGCCCTTCGCGGGTAGCGAGGGAGCTTGCTCCATTTTCTGATCGACCTGATCAACCTATCCTCCTTCTCCTCCTCGTCCTCCTCCTCCTCCTCCTTCTCCTGCTCCCTCCTCTTTCCTCTGCTCCTCCCCCTTCCTCCGCCTCCTCGTCCTCGTCCTCCTCCTCCTTCTCCTCCTCGTCCTCGTCCTCCTCCTCCTCCTTCTCCTGCTCCCTCCTCTTTCCTCTGCTCCTCCCCCTTCCTCCGCCTCCTCCTCCCCCCTCCTCTTTCTCATGATCCTCTGGAGAGGCGAGGCGACGGCACCGCGGATCAGGTGCGCCGGGTACGGCGCGATGCCTGCGGCGGCCAGCCTCTACGGCGGAGCTAGAAGAGGGAGGGAAGAGCAGGAGGAGGGGAGGGGAGGAGGAGGGGAGGAGGAGGAGGAGGAGAAGGAAGAGGAGGAGGAGGAGGAGGAGGAGGAGGAGGAGGAGGAAAAGGAGGAGGAGGAGGAGGAGGAGGAGGAGGAGGAGGCGGAGGAAGAGGTGGAGGAGGAGAAGGTGGAGGAGTAAGAGGAGGATGATGATGATGAGGAGGAGGTGGAGGAGGAGGGAGGAGGAGAAGGAAGAGGAGGAGAGGAGGAGGAGGAGGAGGAGGAGGAGGAGGAGGAGGAGGAGGAGGAGGAGGAAGAGGAGGAGCAGGAGGGAGGGAGGAGCAGGGAGGGAGGACAAGTGAGGGAGGGAGGGGGGAGAAGGGAGGAGGGGGAGGAGGGAGGGAGGAGGGAGGGAGGAAGAAGGATGGAGGGGGGAGGAGGGAGGAGGGAGAACAGAGAAGGGAGGAGAGGAGAGGGAGGAGGGAGGAGGGAGGAGGGAAGAAGGGAGGAGGGAGGAGGGATGGAGGGAGGAGGGAGGGAGGGAGGGAAGGAGGAGGAACTGAGGAAAGGAGGGAGGGGGAGGAGGAGGAGGAGGAGGAGGAGGAGGAGGAGGAGAAGGAGGAGGACAGAGGAGGAGGAAGAGGAGGAGGAGGAGGAGGAGGAGGAGGAGGAAGAGGAGGAGGAGGAGGAGGACAGGCGGAATGTCCTGGTCGCCACAGTCAGCGTGGCACACGGCATTACCAAAAAACTCCAGGGGTCATCCGACGACTTCGGTCTAGCCCAGTGCGGCTTATCGCGGCTTCCCGAACAAGAGCCGCTGAGCCGTTGTGGAAAGAAAACCCGCTGTATCCGCAGCAGGTGTTCGTGGCCCTTTTTTTGATGAAGGATCCAGATCACCCAGCATGTAAAACTGTCCAGGGTCGGCGGTAGCTGTGCGCCCACGACAAGATCAGAAACAGAGTGGGCACGTCATCCAGCCAACGAAACCGCCGATGCCTCTTGCGAAGCTGCCGCGCTCCCCTCACCGAGGAGGGGGGAGGGCGAAGGGATGGAGGGGGGGAGGAGGAGAGGGGGGGAGGACAAGCTAGGTGCGCTCGCGTCATATCTGACGTCCTACCCCTCCCTCCCATCCCTTACCATGGCGCTGATTTTCTATATCCGCGGACGCGTGTCGTAGCGGACCTGTGGCTCCGCGCGCGCGTGCGTAGTGGGTGGTGGTGCGCGTGCGTGCGTGCGTGCGTGCGTGCGTGTGTGCGTGGTGGTGGTGGTGGTGGTGGTGGTGGTGGTGGTGGTGGTGGTGGTGGTGGTGGTGGTGGTGCTGGTGGTGGTGGTGGTGGTGGTGGTGGTGGTGGTGGTGGTGGTGGTGGTGGTGGTGGTGGTGGTGGTGCGGCGCGGTGGTGGCGGGCGGATGGGCGCGCGAGAAAGAGGCCCGCGCTGGGGCGAGAACGCCATCCTGCACGACGGAGGCCAAACACCGATCCGAAAATGAGGCCCACGCTGCAGCGGGAGCACGATTCGGAACGATTCGGGAGCAGAAATGGGGCCGGCGCCTCAGCGAGAGCAGTATTTTTGGAAAATACGCAAGCGAAAACCCAACTCCCGGGAATCCTGTGTGTAAAAAACAGTACGCGGGGGGGGTCTAATACTTTCAGGCCGCCATCGGGGGAAGAGGGAGAGTAGTATTCATATTGAGTAATTGTGGAAGGGAGGGATAGAGGGGGGAGGGAGGGAGGGAGGGAGGGAGTTTTTTTTTGCGCTAGAAGCAGCTAGCAGCACAAACATCTGGAAACAAGAGACGGGGCGCTTTGAGAAAAAGGCACTGGATCAAGGAAGGATCCGATCGCCCCCATTACACGAGATGGCTGGGGGTTTGGGGGCAATATGCCCACTGTCACCCTCTCCCCAGGAGCTGACAGCGCACCTAGGAGGCAAGCTGTTCCTGAAACGCATAAGCGAGGTGTATTGAACCTTCGCCTAATCACGGTGTCCAAATCAGCCTTACCCAACTTCAAAAACACTGAGGAGGAAACCAGGGGTGGCAAAGGAAGAATGCCTGCCGCAAGGCACACAGAAGCAACATTAGCCCTTCTATCCACAGGTCGTGGGACTCATGGAGCATTTAGCCCAACAATCCCCTGCTGCCAAGACGCCTGTGCGGGTCTGACATGGCAAAGGCCGAACAAACTGCTCATGAATATGCGGGAGCCTGAAATAATAGTCGGAAAGCCTGACTGCTCCGGTCTTTCGTTCCACGCATCAGCAGGCGACTCTTGGGCGGGTGGGGGCGGGAACGCGGGGCATGCACTCCTGAGATGGGCCATCACAACGGACCCGCTGGAACGGACAACCTTGCCGTCTCCCTCCACTGTCCCCTCCCACTGTCCCCTCCCGCTGACCCCTCCCACTGTCCCCCCCACTGTCCCCCCCACTGTCCCCTCCCACTGTCCCCCCCGCTGTCCACCCCCACTGTCCCCCCACTGCCCCCCCCACTGTCCCCCCCCCCCCCGCTGGCCCCTCCCACTGCCCCATCCCACTGTCTCCTCTTTCTCCTCCTCCTCCTCCTCCTCCTCCTCCTCCTCCTCCTCATCCTCATCCTCATCCTTCTCCTCCCTCCTCTTTTTTTTTTTTTTTTTTTTTTTTTTTGGTTTTTTTCTCAACCATCCAAGAGCTGGAGCGAAGCCGGATCGGCAGGAAATCGGCCGAAGCCGGCTGCCACATCGAATCGGTAGGAATCGGATCGGGCGAAATCGAAATCGGAACCGCACATCGGAATCTCCAAATCGAGTCGGTTCGAATCGACAACCAGGGTAATCGGTTCGATTCGAACCAGAGGGGTCAGAAAGTCCCCTGGATAGATGGAGGAGGACCAGTGCACAGCCAAGGCTCACCAACGATGTTGCAATAAACCCCCTCCTCTAAGTTCCCCTTCATGGGCTCTTGCAGATATTCATGTTCACTGTGGGAATAGGCCCGTTGAAAGGCAACCGTATGACAATACTGCGCCAGAGCACCATTCCTGGGACTTCAACGCCACGAATCAACGTTACGGTTGTGACCAGACAAGCATAAATCGTACCAGAGCACCATATCTGGGACGTCAGCACCGCGAATCAACGTGATTGTCGCGCCCTGACAATCACGTAGGTTCGAGGTGCTGATCAAACACGATTTCTGGGCTGTCAGCCATAAGAGTACTTGAGACTGCTGTGAAGTGGTAAGACGAAGGTGCGCGGCGTCATGGCGAGAACCACTTTTGGAAAATCACCCGCCATCTCCATGAAGCCCTTGCAAGCGGATAAAATGAGTGTGCGCGGCGCTGAGGCGAGAACCACATTTTGAAAATTACCCGCCCTCCATCCGTGAAGCTCTTGCACATTTCAAACTTCAAGATCATGAACGGTGAAGAACTCTCAAACGAACCGCCCTGCCCGCCCTACCAAACCGTCTCGGGATGCGGCATGGATTAGTTATTTGTCCGGAAGGGGGACAACTTAGGAAGAAACGGACGGCGGCGGAGGAGGAGGAGGAGGAGGAGGAGGAGGAAGAAGAGACAGAGCAGGAGGAGGAGGAGGAGGAGGAGGAGGAGGAGAGCAGAGGAGAGGAGAGGAGAGGAGAGAGAGAGAGGAGAGGAGAGGAGAGGGAGGGGGAGGGGGGGGGGAGGAAGGGAAGGAGAGAGGAGGAGGAGGAGGAGGAGGGGGGAGGGAGGAGGAGGAGGAGGAGGAGGAGGAGGAGGAGGAGGAGGAGGAGGAGCAAGAGGAGGAGGAGGAGGAGGAGAAGGAGAAGGAGGAGGAGGAGGAGGAGGAGGAGGAGGAGAGGAGGAGGAAGAGGAGGAGGAGGAGGAGGAGGAGGAGGAGGAGGAGGCGGAGGAGGGAGGAGGAGGAGGAGGAAGAGGAGGTATGAGGAGGAGGAGGAGGAGGAGGAGGAGGAGGAGGAGGAGGAGGAGGAGGAGGAGGAGGAGGAAGGAGGAGGAGGAGGAGGAGGTAGGAGGAAGGGAGGGATGAGGAGGGTGAGGAGGAGCGTGCAGGGCACGGGACGGTGCTCGCGGCGGCGTCGGGCCTCTGCACCTTGAAATCGAGCACCCCCGCCTCGTCCACCTCCACGAAGCGGGTGCCCTCGGGGCACTCCAGGCGCAGGGGCCTGCCCAGGCGGGCGGCCAGGGCGGCGGGCCAAAACCTGCCTCGGCTGGCGGCTGCTACCCGCTTTCGGCCCGCAGCGGGGGGGGGGCGCTTTCGGGCCCCAGGGCCATGAGAAAGTGCGCTTTCGGGCCCCGGGCCCCGGGGCGGGTCGAGTGCACGTCGGTCGGGAGAAGTGGGCAGGATCACGAAGCAGGAAGGCGCCGAAAGCAACCAGATGTCGGGTTTCCGCCCGCCCCCTAGACGAGGACGGGAAAGGTGAAGCCACTCGATCATGTCAGCAGGAAGGTGCCTAAAATAGACTAGGATTTGGGCATCCAGGAATACCTACAGTCGGCCCTCAAGAACATGAGACCCTCCGCCGGCCAAAACACACAGAGCATCCAAGGGTATCCTCCCCTAGGATGCACAAGAGCATCCTCCTCCTCCTCCTCCTCCTCCTCCTCCTCCTCCTCCTCCCCTCCCCGTCCTCCTCCCCGTCCTCCTCCTCCTCCTCCTCCTCCTCCTCCTCCTCCTCCTCCTCCTCCTCTCCTTCCCTCCCGACCCCCCCTCTGCCTGCAGTCCAGGCCGCTTCCTAAGATCACCACCTGCCGGACGCCCTCGGCGAAGGCTTCCTGAGGAGTGGCGCTCCGAAGCGGCAGGGGGAGCGCCGATTGCATTTAGGAGGGAAGGGGGAAGCACTGGCAGGACGATGACGAGGAGGAGAAGCCTCCTTCTCCTCCTCCTCCTCCTCCTCCTCTTCCTCCTCCTCCTCCTCTTCCTCACCTCCTCCTCTCATCCTCCTCTCCCTCCTCCTCCTCCTCGCCCTCCTCTCCCTGCTCTTCCCTCCTCCTATCCTCCTCCTCCTCCTCATGCTCTCCTTCTCCTCCTCCTCCTCCTGCTCCTGCTCCTGCTCCTCCACTTCTCTCAGGACGAGGAGGAAATGAGGATGAGACGAGCGTCAGAAAATGGTATGGTGGCAGGGAGGACGGGATGAAGACAGCGATCAGACGTCCCAGGGGGGGATGGTGACGCTCTTGTAGCAGCGTCTTCTGACTGTTGACGTTCACAATTTATTCATAGCTATCGGTGGCGCCCACCACATGGTATTATTCATTTACGTTGACCTGTAGTTGGTACTTGCTGGTCATTGTGCTGTACTGAGTTCCCCATGGCTAAGCGGGCTCTGACTCCCTGCAAAGGAACCCTCCACTAAATCGCCGGTGTCTGCGGACAGTGTCTGCGGACACACGCACGCACCCACAACACGATGCACCAAACACAGAACACACTGGAACATGGTACCGCACACTTGGCACCGCGCACGCGGCACCACGCACACGCAATGACACACACGGCACCATGGCAATCACCACGCAAATGACACACACACACACCACCACGAACACGGCGCCACACGGGTGGCACCATGCTCACAGCGCCGTGCACATGACAGGACGTTCCACGAACAAGGTGTAGCGCACTCAACGACAACAACTGGCATTGCGCACACGGCAACCAGCACGACACACACGCGCACACACACACACACACACTCACTCACTCGTACACACAAGCACACACACACACACGCACACACGCACACATTCATACACGCGCACACACTTACACACACACACTTGCACACACACACACACACACTTGCATACACACACAACACACAACACACACACACACACACGGCACCACGCATAACGCAGGTGCACCACTAAACCCCAACACGTAACCCCGCACACACACACGCACAACACGCACAAGGCATCATTCACACGTAACCTTGCAACAACACCATGGACACGGCACCCGCATGCGGCGCCACGCACACTGCACACGGCACCACGCATGCGGGAACCAAACTTATGGCACCACGCATGCGGCAACAAGCGCACGTGATGAAAACAAACGGCGCAAACACCGCGTAAACAAGGGCACACGCATGCCGTCACGTACAAAACATAAAGACAGACACGGCACCACGCACCCGATACCATACCAGACAGCACGCGCACGGCACCACGCATGCTTTCCTCAAACGCCATGGTGCCGCGATCGTGGGTAGCCAGACTAACGGGCCACGATGCAAACTGGTTGAGCCGTGACACTTCAATAGCGGCGAGCCCCGCTGTGAGACCCCGGTACGGGGGCGGACACAGCTGGCCGCTGCAAGTCGGAGCTTCGTGAAAGGGGGCTCAGCCCAACGGGGGCTTAGGCACCTCTACATACCCCCCGTTCACTGCACCCCCGTCTACGGCGACCAGGGCCCCCCCAAAACGGGGGCATAGCCAAACGTGGAACTCGGCGTTCCCCGCACCCCCGCTTTGCTGTGCCCCCGTCTCTGGCGCCCCGAGCCAGGCAAGTGCGGCGCGGCCCGGCACCACGCACGTGGCACCACGGCGCCACAGACACACACACACGCGGCGCACATGGCACGCGGCATGACGGACGCGGCGTACACCACCACACACACACACGGCGCGCACCGCGCACGTGCCACTACTCTCAGTCTCCATGCGCAAGACAGACGGCGCCACGCACACGGCACCACACCCGCGGAACCACGCTCGAGGCACAATGCACCGCATGCGCGGCGCAGTAGAGCACGGCGCACACGGCACCACGCACACGGCGCGCAACACCACGCACGCAGCACCACGCACACGGCCCTCGCACACTGCATCGCGCATGGGGTACCAACCATACGGCACCGCGCACATCGCACACAGCAAAGCGCGGAGCCATTCACATGGCAACGCGCTCACGGCACTGCACACAGAACACCACCCACACGGCGCAAACCACACACGACACCGCACGTGCAGCACGACGTACATGGCGCCATGCACGCGGCACTGAGCACCACGCACACGACGCCACGCACATGGCACCACGCGAACAGCACCAAGCACACAGCACACGGCACTACGCACACGGCACTACGCGCACGGCGCCATGCACACGGCACCACGCACAGAACACCATGGACACGGCACCAACCACGCACACCGCGCGACGCGTACGGCACCACACGCACAACACCTGCACAGCTTGCCGAATGCCCCTCTCTGCTCCTCCTCCTGTTCCAGAGCATTTTCTTTCCTTCTGCATCTTCTTCCTTCTCCTCTGGAAGGGTGAAGACGGGCATGCGCTAAACTTTCGCAGGCCCGCGCGTCTCTGAAAATTTATGTGCAACTGCATGATGTTTGATTATTTCCCGTCCTCCTCGTAATCTTAGGTCGGGCGTGTCCCCCTTTTAAAGTCTGACTGTTTGTCGACTTGTGCTCTGGGAGAAACCTGGGCGCCGCCTGACACACATCCTCGCAACTCTAAGCTCCGAGCTCGAGGTTGTCTGGCCCGTTTCGCCCGACGCACCCTCGCAACTCTGAGCTTCGAGATGCCGCGCGCGAAGTGGTCCAGCCCATTGTCTCGCCCCTCCTCCCGCCTCTCTCCCTATGCCTCCCACCTGCCTCCTCCTCCCTCCTCTCGCCTCCTGCCTGCTGCGCCTCTGCCTCCGCCTCCCCGTCGCCACCTCCGTCGTTTCTGCCGCCTCAGCATCCGCCATGCGCGTCCCACCTTCCACGCGTAGCTTGTGCCGTGGAGCTCTCATGTATTTCACCGTTGAGTTTTCACCTGCCGGTCAAGTTTGGCTTGCACACAGTGGCGAAATCCTCCTCCTCCTCCTCCTCCTCCTCCTCCTCTTCTTCTTTCTCCTCCTCCTCCTCCTCTTCTGCCTCCTCCTCCTCTTCCTCCTCTTCCTCCTCCTCCTCCTCCTCTTCTTCCTCCTCCTCCTCTTCCTCCTCCTCCTCCTCCCCTCCCCAGATGTCTCCGACGTCACGACGTTTGTTCCGAGGCGTGGGCCCGCGGACGCTCCGAGGCGCGGGCCCGCGGGCCTCGCGTGGGCGCGCTGCAGATCAGGTTTCTGCACACGACCTGGCACGACCCCGCCTGCATGTTGCAAGTGCAATGGAAGTGGCCCTGGGACACACACACACACACACAACAGTAGACACACATGCCAAGATCTACAGTCAAAACGTAGAGTAAGGACGCGAGGTAAGGACGCAAGACCCTTGGAGGCCGAAGTTGGGTTTTTTTTGGGCGGCGGGCGACCAGTGATAATGGCAAGGACGAGCCTCAGAGGCAAGGACACAAGGGTACCCTAGATGAAGGCGCGCGTTCTTACTAGGCGCGTTGACTGTACTATAATTTCCAACATGTTTTCTGGGTTTCCGTATTCCCCCCCCACTTCCCGTATCTCCCTATATCTTCCGGGGAGTCGACGATTAATTGTGTCTGTGTGCTTTTTCCCTCCTGAGCAATGTTCTCCCGCACGGGGTAGGCGTGTGGACGCGGTTGGAAACCATCATGCGTTCTGAAAAGCCTGCTTGGGGATGCTGCCCTCGGGCTGTAATGCTGTTCGTTTGCTTCTTCGCCTGCTTCTCTTCCTCCTCCTTGCTGCAGCTCGAGGCGACGACGGCGGCGAGCACCCAGCGGGCTGCCGCAGAGGAGGCGCACGGCCCGAGGCGGGGGGACACATCACGCGCATCATCACGCACGCTGGGGCTTCAACCTCGTTCAGCTGCTGGGCGACGCTCGACGAACGGGTGCGTAGGTGAGCATTCTTTATTCGGCGTTTCGACATTGGGCGGAAGGGGGGGGAGGGGGGGTGTCTGGCTCTGGACCTCTTCTTAATGCGACTGCTTGTGACAACGTGTCCGATGGGGGAGGGGCTCCACCCGCTCGAAACAGGCGCCAAAAAACAGCCAAGATCTACTCCAGGGGGGGGGGAGGGGAGGGGGTGCGAGGGCCCGCGCCGATCGGCAAAAGAATGAACAAAAAACGCTCACTAATCCCCCCCCTGGGAGGCTGTTCGACCCCCAGACTCGGGGGTCCTCCCGCGACGGTGCAGTGACAGACCAGGCGGTGACCTCAAAAAATCCCCACGCTCCCAGGACGGCGCGATGCAGGTCCCAAGACCGTGCGGCCACCAGTCCCCGCATACAGGGTTGCGAGGCGGGGATTTGTGCATATCCACTGCCTGGGAACCGACGTCCTGATACCCCAATGGGCGGTGGATATGGATACATTTTGGCCCCGGGGGCCCGAAGATATCCATATTCGCCGCCTGCCGAGGTCCCCCCAAATTGATCATGTATACATTGCCGCCTCGGAGCGATGCAGGTCCTAAAACCGTGCGGCCACCCGCAGTCCCCACCGACTCACCATACGGGGTGGCCCCCGCACTGCTTGGGGGACCCCCGACAAAGGCTAGACCACCGCCGAGGACCGGCGGAAGCGTCCGACAACCTCGCGCCTCGAACCCGAAACTTTCCCTCCTCCCTCCCACCCCCCCCCTCCTGACCCTCCCTCGCCGCGGGGCCTCTCTGCCGAGCCTTTCGAGGCGCCCGACGCCCGGGGGCCTGCGCCCGACCGGCCCCGCAGCCTCCGTCTTTCTCTCTACGTCTGCGCCGCCCGCCCGGGAGCCGGCGCTCGCCGCCGCCCGCGCGGGCCCCGGGCGCCCGGTGCCCTGTGAGGCTCTCGGCGCGGGGCTCCGGGAGGTCTGCGGCGGCACGCGGGCCCCGAGATCCCGGCCAGGGGGCCACGTGCGAACCCGACCCCCGCCCCCCACGATTCTCGAGGGGGAGGGGGGGGCTGTGGGGTTCACACGATTTTGAGGGTGAGAAATCTTGGGGGGCAGGGGTGGGGTTCGCATGTGGCCCCCTACTGGCGTCCCATGTTTTTCGCAACCGGCGTTCTCGCTCAGTTTCGGGCCCCCGGGACCCTCACCGATCGATCTGGCTCGAGACATGGCGCAGAAAGATGGGGTCCACAGCTCCGGGCGAGATTTCTTACGATGTGGCAGTCTTGTTCGCTGCGTCGGATCTCAGGAAAGTCGGGGAGACGTACAGTCGACGCGTATCATAAGGACGCACGACAAGAATGCGAGGGCCTGAGCAGGCCGCTTCGGAGCTTCTCGGGCGGGGCGAGGCCAACGAGAGTGGCCAAGGAGAGACCGATGAGGCAAGGATGCAACAGTACCCTTAGGAATATTGCCCATCCTTACCATGTGGGTTGACTGTGAGACTTGAGTCGTAAGGACTCGGGTTGGCCTGACGGGGCCACCCTGGAAATGACGAGGCCGCATCTGAAACTTGACGCGAGCTCCCGTTGCAGAAGATCCCAGGAAAACTGGATCGTCAAAAAGCGTCAGCAAACCTGAATTCCCGCGTACTCGAGTCTTCGAGTAGGGTAGTGACTAAAGAATTTACTTAACCCAGCAATGGAAATATCATATCGAATCTACGGACGCATGCGTCGAATTTTCGTAGATCTACCAAAGTTTCACGCATGTTCCATGGATTCGGCGAGAAAAATACATTCTGGGGTAAATCAATTCTGTAGTCGATCCCCTACTTAAAATCACACGTTCCCCCACAAGAGTGGCCCCAAAGGCTCGACCGAACCCTGCGCCGCAGCGCACTCTCGGCGGCTCTGTCGGCTCGACCTGCGTGGCGGACAGGCAGGGCCCGCAGCGGAGGGCTGCCGAGGAGGAGGAGGAGGAGGAGGAGGAGGAGGAGGAGGAGGAGGAGGAGGAGGAGGAGGAGGAGGAGGAGGAGGGAGGAGGAGGAGGAGGAGGAGGAGGAGGAGGAGGAGGGAGATGGAGGAGGAGGAGGAGGAGGAGGAGGAAGAGGAGGAGGAGGAAAAGGGAAGGAGGAGGGATGACCCTAGGCAAGCGTGACCCTTGGTGCGCAGCTTTTTGGGGGCGCGAGGGGGCCACATCCAAGCGCACAGGCCGCTGCTATCGCATCGCATTCAGCGATCGGGGGGCCGCAGTAGGCCCGCACCAGAGGTCGCTCTGGCGAAGGGTCATTCTCACGTGCAGTCGAAGCCTGAACCCTTCCCCCAGGGCCAGCTCTTCATCCTGAGCTGGTTTTTGACGGCCCCATGGCCCAGCGAGGGCCCCCAGAGGCTGAAATAGGGGAAGACACAGCAGCATCAACATACACTCTCGGATCTCCGCGCGGATTTCTTGGATCTGCGCTTGGGCCCCCCCCTGGCGGCGCCTCTGGCGCATCTCCTGGCACGCTCCTGGACCAGCGCCGATCCAAGACATCCGCGCGGGGCTCCGAAAGTTTTTGGACGCCCGAAATGGGTACGGAAAGGATGGGTACAATGCCCAACAACAAATGTTGTCCCAAACCAACAGCGGCCGCTGTTGGGCAGGCGGCCTTCTGTCTCGAATGGACACAGGCCGCGGCGGCGTGGACAGCGAGCCCTGTTCAAAATGAACCAGATCCGCTGTTGGGCATTGCGCACATTCTTTCCGTGCCCATTTCGTTCGTGCAGAAAAGTGGATGTTCACGCTGTCAATCTCCTCTCCGGTGATAGCTGCGGAAACCTTCCGCGCCGAGCCTCCCGAGGCGCGGGAGGCCTGCCCAGACAGGCGACGCCCTGATTTTCTAAGCAGTGCGGGGCCCCTGGAAGTCCCGACCCTCTCCCCAGGACCGGCTTTTCATTCCGAGTCCTTTCTGGCGGCCCCGAGGCCCGGCGAGGGCTCCCTATAGGCCGAAGACGGTGAAAGACCTCCCGTCCTGATCTCTTCCCTGAGATCCGACGCTGCAAAACAATTGCGACATCGCAAAAACCACGACTGGAGCCCCGGGCCCCGGAGCCCGAAATTGAGAGCGACACCGCCCGGCTCGAAAAGACTGAGACGACAGGATCTCAGGGCTTTGATAAAAGGGGAAACAAACAATGACATAAACACAAAACCAGTCGGAGCTCCGCGCGGCGCCGATCCGAGGCATCCGCGCGGGCCTCCGAGTTGTTACGTTCATGCCATCGCTCGTGCCCCCACTTGCGGCGCGCTCCTGTCTGGGCGGGGCTGGCGGGCAGCGGCGTGCGCCCGAGGGCGCCCGCTGCCGCGAGCGGCGCCTGGCGGGCGCGCGGCCGCGCGAGCGCCGCCGGCGCGGCCGCCCGCCCGGGCCGCGGCCGCCGGGCGCCGGCCGCCGGCGGCCGCCGGCGTCGGGCTGCGGCGGCCGGCGGCCGCCAGCGGTGGCCCGCCGCTCGGCGCTCGGCCCGCGCGGGCCGCGCGAGCCGCGCGGCGCGGCGGCGCCCGCGCGCACGGGCCAGGCGCTCGGCCCGCTCAGAGCTGGAGCTGCCCAGGCGTGCGGCGCACCGCGGGGCCGCCGCGCGCGGGCGCCGCGGGCGCGGCGTCCTGGCGCGAGCGGCGCGCCGGCCGCGCCTGTCGGGGCTCAGAGGGCCCGGGCGCTGCAATTTCTGCCCGCTGGGCGTCTTCGCCCTGTCCCTCCTCTTCCTCACCTCCTCCCCCCACCTTCCCCTTCCCCTCCTCCTCCATCCCTTCCTCTTCTCTTCTTCTCCTCCTCCTCCGCCTCGTCCTCCTCCTCCTCCTCTTCTGCGTCTCCTCCTCTTCCGCTCCTCCTCCTCTTCTTCTTCTCTTCTTCCTCCTCCTCCTCTTTCTCCTCCTCCTCCTTCTCCTCCTCCTCCTTCTCCTCCTCCTCCCCTCCTCCTCCTCCTCCGCCTCCTCCTCCTCCTCCTGCTCCTCCTCCTCCTCCTCCTCGCCCCTCCCCCTCGCGACGGGCGATTTTGCCGTGTTTCGGGTCCCAGAACCCTCGCGGTTCGATCATGTTTGAAAAATTCGCCGGCCCAACGGGCCAGGGCGTGCTAAGATCTCCGGTACCTGGTTAACAATATTTCTAGTTCGCGCGCGCGGGGCGGCCCCTGGGGGTCCCCGGACGAAAAGTACCCCGGCAAGGTCCCGGCAAGTCCCCGGCAAGGTCGGGCCAGAGATGCCGGAGCCCTGTTACAGGGCCCCAGGACGGGCCAAGAGGTCCCCAAGAAGCCTCCAAGACGGTCCAAGAGGGCCCCGAGACGGCCAAAGATCGCCCGAAACGCCCAACAGGGCCCCAAGAGCCCAAGAGGCCTCCAAGACGCCCCAAGGCCTTCCCCCCGCAAGAGGAAGAAGAGGCCAAAATCGCCCGAAGACGCCCAACAGGGCCCCAAGACAGCCCAAGAGGCCTCCAAGACGCCCCAAGGGCCTTCCAAGAGGCCTCCGAAGAGGGCCCCAAGAGGCCAAAATCGTTGATGTTCATTGTTTTTTTCTATGTTTTTTGCGTTCTGGTCCCAAGACCGCCGCCCAAGACGGACCAAGAGGCCCCAAGACGGGCCCAAGAGGGGCTCAAGAGGGGAACCGAGAACTGAAAAATCGAGCCCTCCGCCCCAGAAGGCGCCCAGGAGGCCCCAAAAAGGCCCCAAGAGGCCCCCAAGAGGCCCCCAAGACGCCCCAAGAGGCGCCCAAGAGGCCCAAAAGAGGCCCCAAGAGGCCCCAAAACGGCCCCCAAGAGGCCCCAAAACTCGGCTAGCCCACAACGGTGCGACAATATGGGCCGGCGGAATGAGCGAAGCGATTAAATATGTCAGACAAATGGGTCTTTGGCTCTGGTCGTGATTGTTCGGCAATGCTGCGATTTGTTCGCAACGTTGGATCTCAGGGGTCTGAGAGGGCGACAGCCAGCGTGGTGGCTGCAAAGGGGCACTATAGAAGCTCCCCACATGGCAGATGGAGTCACAATGGGTGGGGTCGGAAGATCGCGCCGCATCGTTGGTGTATCGCCGATGCATCGGCGATGCATCGCATCCGCGACGCCGGCGTGCAGAACATCAGTTCCCAAGTCGAAGCGCATCGCCGATGCATCGGCGGTGCGGCGCTACCCTATGGCCACGTTGGGGAGGCTTGGAGGCACTCCGATGCCGCTAAAACGACCGGGCGGATGCCGCAAAAAAACGACATGCGTTTTGTGGGCCTCCGTTGGCCTGGACATGAGCACCAACACCTTGAGTCTGTCGCGGGCGGCAGGTCTGGGATGGGCCTGGATGTCACGACGGATGACCATGTATACTCTATCTGGCGTTTGAGCCGCCAACTCCATCTTTGTGAAAGGATTTGACCGTCAACTCTATCTTAATTGAAAAATTCGGCCGTCAACTCCGAGTTGATGAACCCCCTTGACGGCCTCATTCCGAATTGACGAACGCCCTTGACGGCCTCCCTCTAACTTGACGAAACCCCTTGACAAGCCCTCTTGTCGGCAACACTATAGGTTGACGAACGCCCATGACGGACGGCCTCCCTCCGAGTTGACGAACCTCCTTGACGCCCCCCCCCTCGCCGCACCCTCCGTCTTGACGAACAAAGCGTCGGGGCCGAGCTGATGGTTAAAAGCGACTTCGATCTTGACGAACAAAGATGTCGGGGCTAAGTTGACGGCTCTTCTCGTCTTGACGGACGAAGCGTTGGAGCTGAACTGATGATTGCTTTCGCCTTAGCGAACGTAGTCTTGGGGCCGCGTTGCCGCCTGAAGTGTCCGGGCCACATTGACGACCGTTGTGGGCGCTTCTCCAGACATGCGTCGTCTCGGCCACTGGGCTGGACTCCACCAACACCAACACAGAGGGTTCCCTCCAACAGGGGAAGATGATCCTAGATTTGTGCTGCTGGTGGTAATACATCGGCCATCCAGAAGCCCGAACCTTACCACCGTCGCCGAGATCGGGAGCACCTTCCTTCGGTGGAGGCACACCGCCGATACTGGTGTTGGTGTTGGCCTGGGCCTCCTACCCAGGGCCTGGAATAGAAGACAGAAACACGGCATAAACATAAACTTTTGGCGCTCCGTGCGGACTTCTTGGGTCCGCGCTGGACTTCCCTCCCTGGCGCGCGGAGCGCGGCCGGGGGGGGCCAGGCGCGAATCCAAGAAGTCCGCGCGGAGCGCCAACAGTTTCGGCTTATGGCGTTTTTCTTCTTCGAGGCCTGGGAGCATTCATTCAGTCCTGAACGCCCGCACCAGAACCTGCCGAGGATCGCCGTCGCCCCAAGCCGATCGCCCCAAACTTCCCCCTGGGCAGCAGCCGGACCAACATCCGTCGAGCTGCGCCCCGCCGTGGCCAGGAAGGCCCCCCCTGCGAAGCCGAAGAGGGGGCAAGGCCTTCCACCGCGAGGCGAAGGGTCAACGATGGGGGGGGGGGGGAAACATCGACATTGACAGGGCGACACCTCGCCGGTAGATCGACGATAGGTCCCCGATGGCGAATCCGCACGCTCCTGGGCAGGGCGGGCTATCGGGACCCTTGCGGCGACGAGTGGGCGATGGGGGATTCGTCCCTTCCCCCCTGAGCCTCTCCCCCTCATCTAGGAGGGGAACGAAAACTGACATAAACATAAAAACTCGGAGGTCCGCGCGGACTTCTCGGATCGGCGCTGGACCCCCCTCCCTGGCGCGCGGAGCGCGCCAGGGGCGGCGCCGGAGGCGCCGCCGGGGGGCCCCAGCGCCGATCCGAGAAATCCGCGCGGACCTCCGAGCTTTTATGTTGATGCCACTTCTCGTTCCCCCCTCATCGGTTGCCCCTGAAAGAGGCGTCGCCGCCGCGTCGAGGCGGCGCGAACCTGCCGCACACGAGCCCCGGCCCACTTTCTGCCCCGCGCGGGCCCGGCGGCGGGCTCTGGAGAAGTGGGCGCTGCCGGCGGCGAGCACCACCAGGGCCGCCAGGTGCAGGGCGAGCTTGTGCACCCGCACGTCCGCCAGCAGGCGCTCCGCGAGCGTCGGCCACGTCGGCAGCCGCAGGAAAATCATGTGCCACCCGAGCAACATGAGCACCATCGTGACCGGCGCGTGGGTCGCGCCGGGGTCCACTTCGCGGGAGCGGTGGTAGTACATCTTCGCCGTCTGCAAGTCCTGGGGCACCCCCAGGCCAAACTGGTGCATGAAGCCCATGTTGAAATGCCCTCTGGCCACAAATCCCTGCATCCACATGCCGGTGACCGTCATCTCAGCCGTCTTCCTGTACCTTGCAAGCGAAGCTTCATAGTCAACAGCCTGAGGCCTGATCTGCACCTCGGTGTTGGCCTGCATCGAAAGAATCCCGTCATTGCTGTCGGCATCCTCATCGTCGTCCTCCGCCTTGAATGAAGCTGTCACTCCCCATCCGTAGAACGCGTAGTCTCCCAGTCGCAGCTGGGACGACGCACTACCCTGTTCTGCGGACATCTCGTAATAACGCTGCGCCAAGATTCTGCTGTGTTGTCTTGTCTCTTCGGTGAACCTTGCGTCCTCTGCTGACGCGTTCCCCGGGAAAAAGATGGAAGACCGGCCAGCATCGAACAGGTGCGCCGCGTTCATCTGGGCGACCTCGTGCCCCGCCTCATGGCATGGCTGGCTGAAATGCTTGGGCTGGGTCGAGGGGGGACGGGGCGAGACCTAGAGTGCATGCGGGTCGCCAGTGCCCACGACTTCCACACACCATGGGGGCAAGCCCTGCACACATCCAGAGGTCTCTGCCCTCCCCCTGCTCCCTGTCCGCCCAGGTCTTTCAACAAGCTGGGCCTCGGCGAGCTTCAGGAAGAGCAGGGCTGCCCTATCAGGCTTCGTCTCGCCAAGCTCGTAGGCGTCCGCCAACTTGTTGGTGATCCACGTGCCTCGGTCGCAAACGGTCTTCAGGAGCTTCACTGCGATGTCGCAGCTCCGAGGTGCGCCAATGCCGTTCAGGTGCATTATCGCTAGCGAGTAGGCCGCGGGCGTGTGGCCGCGGTCCAGAGCCTGTGTGTAAAACATCACGGCCATGTGGAAGCTCTGGCTGGTACCTGTGCCAGTCAGATACATGCCCGCCAAATTGAACATGCCATCACTGGAGCCTGCGACTGCCGACTCATTAAAGTGGCGAAAGGCTAGATTGTAGTTCCTGGCCTGTATGCCCGTGCCGCGGAAGTAGATGTAGCCCAGGCCGTTGTGTCCCAACGGATCCCCTTGAAGCGATGCCGAAACAAAGTATCCGTAAGCAACATTTAGATTCCGCGGCATTCCCAGACCGAGGCAATGCATGTAGCCCAATAGACCTTGTGCACCGGGATGGTTGCCATTGGCTGCCAAAGTCAAGTACTGTTTCGCCTTTTCATAATCTTGCCCGAAGCCCTCAATGCCCAGAAGCCAACGCTTCCCTATCGCATATGCTACGTTGAGATCTCCATTCGAGGCCAACTGAACGAAAAACATCCTCTCCGACGGGCTGATCGTCTGATGGTCTTTCGAATTCAGATTGAGGCGGATGAGCTCCACAGCCTGGGGCATGCCTGCACTGTATATGCTGGCGACCTTCTTGGCCAAATCAATATAGTTGCGCGCCGCGGTAGTGCACGCCTTGGGCACCCCATAGCCGTGCTGGTGGCGATAGCCCATGGCCATCAGCGCGCCTGGGTGGCCGGCTGTGGACGCCGCGTACATGTACAACACCGCGAGCGCCTCCTGTCGGTAGACGTCGTCCCCCTCTGCGTGCGCGGTGGAATGCAGCAGGCCCAGGTTAAACTGGGCGTCTGCGTCGCCCGCCTCTGCGGCCGCCTGGAAGAGCAGAGTGGCCTCCCGTTGTCGTCGTCGTCGTCGTCGTCGTCGTCGTCGTCGTCGTCGTCGTCGTCATCGTCGTCGTCGTCGTCGTCGTCGTCGTCAAGCAGAGTGGCCTCCGTCAGGTTCTGTGCCACGCCCGCGCCCACCAGGTGCATCTCGCCCAGCATGGTCCTGATGGCCGCGCGGGCGCTGCACCGGCAACGCTACTCGGCTCGAGTGCGATACACAATCTTTTACGTCGGCGGCTAGGCAGAAGGACTGCGCTGGCGGATAGGGCGCCGGAGGTATAAACGAACGCGAATTAGGCCGCGATGCACGAGGGGGGAGGACGAGGTTGCCCCGCGGTGGCGGGGGAGAGGTGGAGGCCGGGCCCGCTCAGAGCAGGGCCAGGCGCGCGGCTGGGCGGCGCCGGCGGTGGGGACCAGCAGCTAGCGGAGCGGCAGCTGTCGAGTGCGATACACAAGCGCTCGCGCGTGAGCCGAGCATGTCTTTTGCTTGTTGGGTTCTCACTTCTGAAAACCCAGGCCCCCTCGCGTCGTGAAAAAACACGACGGGAAGAATTTCGTTTTTGTTCGGCCTCCAGGCGCCCCTTCCGGGCCTCGGGAGCGTTAACAAAACGACTCAGGATGAAGAGCCGGTCCTGGGGAAGGGGTCCAGACCTCCTGGGTATGACGTTGAGAAAAATTGAAACGTCGGTGGTCTGGGAAAGATATTATTGTTGGTCCCCCGCCCTCAGGTGCACCTTGTGTTTTTCAATTGAAATGACCATCTCAGGGCTCGCACCCGGTTTTCTACAAAGGAAAGCCTTGCGTCTCAGACTGTGCCCCTGGCCACCGAACTACAACAACGGCTCCCGCCTGATACCTCCTCACAGTGAATTCAGAATCGCGCTCTCGCGTGGGACGTCCTCACAAGGTATCCAGGAATCGCGCTCTCGCTTGTGACCTCGTGGGAATTATTGAAGCGTCGCTCCCTCGACACTCAGGAAGCGCACTCTCGCTCTGGACGTCCTCACAACTTACTTGGGAATCGCGCTATCGCTCGAGACTTCCTCGCGATCCATGCAAGACTGATGCTTCAGCGACCCGCCCGCTCGACCCGGCCGTCTGGGCATGGGCCCGCCCGCCCGACCTCCTTGTCTCTTCCCTCCTCCCCCCTTTCCCCTGTTTTTGAGGCTGCGCCAGCTACACGTGGGAGGTAAGGAAGATATACCCTTAAGGGGAATACGATCGAAGACGAAGAGGGCGGGTAGCAAGGGTTCGGGGTACAGATGTTGAGTGAGACGCGAGCAGATAAGAGCGAACAATCTTACACCAAATTTTGTTATGTTTGTATTGTGTCTGTGCTTATCGGAGGCTGGGGGTGTGAGCGCAAGTGACCCCAAGCGGGAGATCGGTTTCGATTTCGGTTCGCGTCGTGCGTGCGGGCCAGGCGAAGCTGCGCGAGATCCTGCAGTTGTAACGACCTCGTGGAGCCCAGAAGGTTGCCCGCCCCACCGCCCCCCCCTGGCCCGGCGCGGCCACCGATGCTTGTCCCGCGGCTTGTCTTGCTGGTTGTCCCGATGGTTGTCCCGATGGTTGCCCGATGGTTGCCCCGACGGTTGCCCCGATGGTTGACCCGATGGTTGCCCCGATGGTTGCCCCAATGGTTGCCCCGATGGTTGCCCCGATGGTTGTCCCGATGATTGACCCGATGGTTGTCCCGATGGTTGGTTGTCCCAATGGTTGACCCAATGGATGCCCCGATGGTTGCCCCGATGGTTGACCCGATGGCTGCCCCGATGGTTGTCCCGATGGTTGACCCGATGTTTGTCCCGATGGTTGCCCCGATGGTTGACCCGATGGTTGGTTGTCCCGATGGTTGACCCACTGGTTGTCCCGATGGTTGCCCCGATGGTTGACCCGATGGTTGCCCCGATGGTTGTTCCGATGGTTGTCCCGATGGTTGGTTGTTCCGATGGTTGACCCGCTGGTTGACCCAATGATTGCCCAAATGGTTGACCCGATGATTGACCCGATGGTTGTCCCGATGGTTGATCCTATGGTTGTTTCGATGGTTGTCCCGATGGTTGTCCCGATGGTGGGTTGTCCCGATGGTTGCCCCAATGGTTGACCCGATGTTTGCCCCGATGGTTGTCCCGATGGTTGACCCGATGGTTGTCCCGATGGTTGGTTGTCACGATGGATGTCCCGATGGTTGTCCTCATGGTTGACCCCATGGTTGCCCCGATGGTTGTGACCCGATGGTTGTCCCGATGGTTGGCCCGATGGTCGACCCGATGGTTGGTTGTCCCGATGGTTGACCCGCTGGTTGCCCCGATGGTTGTCCCGATGGTTGAGCCGATGTTTGTCCCGATGGTTGTCCCGATCGTTGTCCCAATGGTTGGTTGTCCCGATGGTTGACCCGCTGGTTGCCCCGATGGTTGCCCCAATGGTTGACCCGATGATTGACACGATGGTTGTCCCGATGGTTGACCCGATGGTTGTTTCGATAGTTGTCCCGATGGTTGTCTCGATGGTTGGTTGTCCCGATGGTTACCCCGATGGTTGCCCCGATGGTTGCCCCAATGGTTGACCCGATGTTTGCCCCGATGGTTGTCCCGATGGTTGTCCCGATGGTTGTCCCGATGGTTGGTTGTCCCGACGGTTGACCCGATGGATGTCCCGATGGTTGTCCCGGTGGTTGACCCGTTGGTCGCCCCGATGGTTGTCCCGATGGTTGACCCGATGTTTGTCCCGATGAAATCCCGATGGTTGCCCAGATGGTTGACCCGATGGTTGGTTGTCCCGATGGTTGACCCGCTGGTTGCCCCGATGGTTGTCCCGATGGTTGACCCGATGTTTGTCCCGATGGTTGTCCCGATGGTTGTCCCGATGGTTGGTTGTCCCGGTGGTTGACCCGATGATTGACCCGATGGTTGTCCCGATGGTTAACCCGATGGTTGTTTCGATGGATGTCCCGATGGTTGGTTGTCCCCATGGTTGCCCCGATGGTTGCCCCAATGGTTGACCCGCTGGTTGTCCCGATGGTTGTCCCGATGGTTGAACCGATGGTTGCCCCGATGGTTGGTTGTCCCGATGATTGACCCGATGGATGTCCAGATGGTTGTCCCGATGGTTGATCCTATGGTTGCCCCGATGGTTGCCCAAATGGTTGCCCCGATGGTTGTCCCGATGGTTGTCCCGATGGTTGACCCGATGGTTGCCCCGATGGTTGGTTGTCCCGATGATTGACCCGATGGATGTCCCGATGATGGTTGTCCCGATGGTTGATCCTATGGTTGCCCCGATGGTTGTCCCGATGTTTGTCCCGATGGTTGCTCCGATGGTTGACCCGATGGTTGGTTGTTCCGATGGTTGACCCGCTGGTTGCCCCGATGGTTGTCCCGATGGTTGACCCGATGTTTGTCCCGATGGTTGTCCCGATGGTTGTCCCGATGGTTGGTCGTCCCGATGGTTGACCCGCTGGTTGCCACGATGATTGCCCCAATGTTTGCCCCAATGGCTGACCCGATGGATGACCCGATGGTTGACCCGATGATTGTTTCGATGGTTGTCCCGATAGTTGTCCCGATGGTTGGTTGTCCCGATGGTTGACCCGATGGATGTCCCGATGGTTGTCCCGATGGTTGACCCGATGGTTGCCCCGATGGTTGTCCCGATGGTTGACCCGATGTTTGTCCCGATGGTTGTCCCGATGGTTGTCCCGATGGTTGGTTGTCCCGATGGTTGACCCGATGGTTGCCCCGATGGTTGTCCCGATGGTTGACCCGATGGTTAACCCGATGGTTGACATGACAGTTTTTCCGACGGTTGCCCCGATGGTTGCCCCAATAGTTGTCCCGATGGTTGCCCCGATAGCTGCCCCAATTGTTGACCCGATGGTTGCCCCGACGGTTGTCCCTATGGTTGGTGTTCCCGATGGTTGGTCCGATGGATGTCCCGATGGTTGTCCCGATGGTTGACCCGATGGTTGCCCCGATGGTTGTCCCGATGGTTGACCCGATGATTGTCCCGATGGTTGGCCCGATGATTATCCCGATGGTTGGTTGTCCCGATGGTTGACGCGCATGTTGCCCCGATGGTTGACCCGATGGTTGACCCGATGTTTGTCCCGATGGTTGTCCCGATGGTTGTCCCGATGGTTGGTTGTCCCGACGGTTGACCCGCTGGTTGCCCCGATGATTGCCCCAATGGTTGACCCGATGATTGACCAGATGGTTGTCCCGATGGTTGTCCCGATGGTTGTTTCGATTGTTGTCCCTTGGTTGTCCCGATGGTTGATTGTCCCGATGGTTGACCCAATGGTTGCCCCGATGGTTGCCCAAATGGTTGCCCCGATGGTTGCCCCGATGGTTGTCCCGATGGTTGACCCGATGGTTGTCCCGATGGTTGGTTGTCCCGATGGTTGTCCCGATGGATGTCCCGACGGTTGTCCCGATGGTTGACCCGATGGATGCCCCGATGGTTGTCCCGATGGTTGACCCGATGGTTGACCCGATGGTTGTCCCGATGGTTGTCCCGATCGTTGGTTGTCCCGATGGTTGGTTGTCCCGATGGTTGACCCGCTGGTTGCCCCGCCCCGATGGTTGTCCCGATGGTTGACCCGGTGGTTGTCCCGATGGTTGTCCCGATGGTTGTCCCGATGCTGGTTGCCCCGATGGTTGCCCCAATGGTTGACCCGATGGTTGTCCCGATGGTTGGCCCGATGAGTGCCCGACTGGTTGACCCGATGGTTGCCCCGATGGTTGTCCCGATGGTTGACCCGATGGTTGTCCCGATGGTTGGTTGTCCCGATGGTTGACCCGATGGATGTCCCGATGGTTGTCCCGATGGCTGTCCCGATGGTTGCCCCGATGGTTGCCCAAATGGTTGACCCGATGTTTGTCCCGATGGTTGTCCCGATGGTTGGTTGTCCCGATGGTTGACCCGCTGGTTGCCCCGCTGGTTGTCCCGATGGTTGACCCGATGGCTGTCCCGATGGTTGTCCCGATGGTTGTCCCGATGGCTGGTTGTCCCGATACTTGCCCCAAGGGTAGACCCGATGATTGACCAGATGGTTGCCCCGATGGTTGTCCCGATGGTTGTTTCGATGGTTGTCCCGATGGTTGGTTATCCCGATGGTTGACCCCATGGTTGCCCCGATGGTTGCCCAAATGGTTGACCCGATGGTTGCCCCGATGGCTGTCCAGAGGTTGACCCGATGATTGTCCCGATGGTTGGTTGTCCCGATTGTTGACCCGATGGTTGTCCCGATGGTTGTCCCGATGGTTGACCCGATGGTTGACCCGATGGTTTTCTCGATGGTTGACCCGATGTTTGTCCCGATGGTTGTCCCGATGGTTGTCCTGATGGTTGTCCCGATGGTTGGTTGTCCCGATGGTTGACCCGCTGGTTGCCCCGCCCCGATGGTTGTCCCGATGGTTGACCCGATGGATGCCCCGATGGTTGTCCCGATGGTTGACCCGATTGCTGGTTGTCCAAATGGATGACCCGCTGGTTGCCCCGATGCTTGCCCCAATGGTTGACCCGATGGGTGACCCGATGGTTGTCCCGATGGTTGCCCCGATGGTTGACCCGATGGTTGCCCCGATGGTTGTCTCGATGGTTGACCCGATGGTTGTCCCGATGGTTGGTTGTCCCGATGGTTGACCCGATGGATGTCCCGATGGTTGTCCCGATGGTTGACCCGATGGTTGCCCCGATGGCTGTCCCGATGGTTGACCCGATGTTTGTCGCGATGGTTGTCCCGTTGTCCCGATGGTTGACCCGCTGGTTGCCCCGATGGTTGACCCGATGGATGTCCCGATGGTTGTCCCGATGCTTCCCGACGGTTGTCCCGATGGTTGGTTGTCACGATGGTTGACCCGCTGGTGGCCACAATGGTTGACCCGATGCTTGACCCGATAGTTGTCCCGA